GTATCGGACATTTCTCAAAGTTGTAATATCGGTATCGTATCGGAAGTGAAAAAGTGGTATCGGGACATCCCTAGTAATTTATGTAAAGTTAAGCCTTCATCTCATCTCTAACTTCACTCAGTGCAGCTGAAGTTACAAAAACTCTTTTAAACAAATGACTTTAATCCCAGTTTCCGGTTTGGATCAAACTTTTAGCCTTAAATTCAACTTCAAACTCACCACAATGTCAGACAGGAACAGTTCAAACCGATAAAAAGCAGCTTTATTTGTGGTTTTGTTTGTGTTTTTAYTCAGTTTTGATTCTAAACCTGAACCTTCTCCACAAACCAACACGTCCAAACAAACTGTTAGCATCCGGCTAACCGGCTAACTTACTTCAGCTGCTTCCTCATAACCGCGCATCAATGACAGCTTGTTGGCGACCGACCGTGTGCTTAATTATCACCGTAAACACGGTTTCATACCACGAACGGTTTAAATTAATTGCTTTAAACGCCGCAGCGCACGCGCTGTCGMTCGAGCAGCCAAACGCTAGCAGCGGCAGGCTAACTGGGTTAGCATCACCGTCAACAACCGAACAGCAGCGAGCCGAAGTGACCGCGGAAACCCGTGAAAACGGGTTGAATGTCGGCCGAGTCGAAACACTCCGCCTCGGTCACTGCCCCGCGTCCCCCCCGAGTTCAAACACAAAGCCTGGGGAAAGAAAGAGTTGGAGAAAAAGGAGTTCGTTTTTTCCACTCACCATCCCCGCGGCCGCCATTTTGAATACGTGTCATTAGTGACGCTGCGGAAGTAAGTAGCGACGTTTCTCTGGTGGTTTTTAAAAACATTTACATTAGTTTATTTTGCCACTAATTCGCACAGAACCGATAACGTCTTGATTGTGATATGTTTTAATTGTTACAAAAAAGTATAAAGAATGACTTTATTTTTAGCGATAGCTGTAGTGTTTACATTTGACGGCTCACGGGCCACACCCGGTCGTTCTTTCCATTGGGTGGTCCCACCCGCTTCCAGCTTGACTGACCTAAAATGMATGTATATAGTAAATTAAATTTACTTTTTAATAAATACACATTTGGAAACATTTTAAAACAGTTTATTCAACTATTTATCAGAAAAAGCATTTCACAAACTTTAGAGCATGCCGGTTTGGCAAAGAAGAAGAAAAAGTCTCGACTCGGGAGTACATTTCTTATTTTTATACAGGCCGCTTTGTTTAAATATATTTTATTACACATTATTCCTCACATTTTTTTTTACACAGAAACCATTTGTCACATCTTAAAATCATGCAGGTCCTTTTGTGCAACAATATTTTTTGTACTTCCAACGAAACGAGAAACAAATGAGAAACAGCATCAGTCATTAGTCTGTTATTCAGGGAAAATAAGGAAGAAAAAAGAACTTAAAGAAAACATTCTGTTCAAGATACATTTTTGAAATTATTACTGAAGAAACTAAAACACACATACACTCCTTTATAAGTTAAGTAGTGAACAAAAAATATAAAAAAAATAAGCGAAACAATAAATCAGAGTATCTTTATATCACTATATGTACAAATCTTAAAGAATATATTGTAGCTTGCTGATTGAAATTGGATTAAAGGCACTTTAAAGGAGCAAAAAGCCATAAAATAACAATAAAAAATGTCTTCAGAGGACCTTTTATTATAATACAGCCAGTTTCTGTTTCCTGTGATGACTTTGTGGACGTTTGTGTTGAGGTTGCCTGCAGTTCTTAAGGGTTAATTTGTTTTAAACAGATGCACTTTTATAATGTTAATATGTTACATAAATTACAGTAGAAGCAATAAAAGAAAAGTAACAAATTTAAATTCTAGTAATGCTCAAGTCCAAGGAGCTTTCAGCCCCCCCCCCCCCCCCCCCCCCCCCCGCGCGCGGGTGCGGTGCGAGTTGTATGGATTTTCTGCAAAACTTATGGATCTTTAGGGCTCTTTATAC